ATCTGAAATTTGGATCAAAATTAACATTACATGTGAAATAAGCATTTGCTCCACAAAAGCCACATATGGTGATACTTAAGTTATTCCTAGTACATTAAGAGTTTCATGAATTTTTGTATATGAACCCAGGATTGATGAACCCATAGGGGAGCCAGTAGACTAAGGGGAGGGGCAGGGGCTGGTGCTGTTACAGTGGTGGTGGGGAAAGGTAAAAGGGAGACGACGACGATGTCAAGGAGTACAGGAAGTAAAAGCATGTCAGGAAACTGATGGTGGTAGCAATTGTACAATACTGCTAAACGTGATGGAACTGTGGAATGACATGATTTTTGTATTAACTCTCTAGTAATAATGATTTTTTAAAGTTTCATTAACCTATTACTGAAGCTAGACATTTTACTCTTTCACACCACCTATCAACTCCACAATCTCTCTGTGTTCTCGATTGCCACTGGGAAAGCTGAAGCCTCAGACCACACAGATGGGGCCATCTCAGAGTCTGGTCTTCCAAAGCACTGCCATTGAGGTACCAACTTACAGCGACCCCCGAGGACAAAGTAGAACTGCCCTGTGGGTTCATGAAACTATAAACTTTTAGAGGAGTTGAACGCCTCATCTTTCTCTCCAGGTGCTCCTGGTAGGTTCGAACTGCTGACCATGCAGGTGACAGCCCAACCTGTAAGCCCCCACACCGCCAGCACTCCTCAGAGTTGATATTACCCAGCCAAGTGGAGTCGTACACACCTGGAATAATCTCATCCCACCAGATGTTCACATAGTCATCCCGGTCAGTCCTTGACTGCTCGTGGTAAAATCCCAGAGCGTGCAGGATCTCATGCTGGATGATGGCCTTATAGTCACAGTTCTGGCCAATGGAAAGATTCTGTCCCACGTGTTGGTCACCCACGGCGGACCAGCACCTTTAAAGAAGAGAAGAGACAAAGGGTGTGCTAGAACAGTAAGTCCCAGTGTGCCTGTCATTTATAGGGTTTCAGAACATCAATTGAAAGAAGCTAGGTTAGGGTTGGTTGGTTGGTTTTCCCCCCAAAGAAATTACCCATAGCATTCTCCTATGTCGATGGTTCGGCCATAGAAGATGGTTAAATAAGGAACATACTTTAGAGGGAATTTTATGCAAGCTCTAAAATGAAGATCCTGGATTAATGATTGTCTGGGGGCACAGAAGGGGAGGGGAGGGAGGCAGTCAACATCAGTGGCTACAAGGAGGAGCCAAAGGTTCCAACGTTGATTGCGGCGATGGTTGCGCAACCTTTCTTGATATGACTGAGAGTACTGCATTGTATGAGATGTTGATTATAGCTCCATAAAACGTGTGCATGACAATCCATTGTAAAAGTGGTACAACCATACTCAGAAGATAGTGGCTCTACCAGTGCCCAAAGATCAGCATGCGTCTTCATGTCCACAGGACATTCCAAAGAGGAAACCAGTCCATAAGCCCCACTTCATTTGGAAAGGCTTCAGGCAAGGGAAGGAGTGCTGGTGACAAAATGGGTTACTCGCTGGCCTGCTACCAGCACGGTCCGCAGTTTGAACCCGCCAGCTTCTCCTTCGGAGAAAGGTGAGGCTACTTCCTCCTGTAAGGCCGGAAGGGGCATTTCTACCTTGTCCTCACTCTCTGCCAGGAATTCAGTGCTGACTCATCGGGCCCCCCTGTGAGTTTCCCAGGCTGTAACCGTTTACCATAGCAGAAAGCCCAGTCTTTCTCCTGGGCTTCAAACTGACGCCCATGCAGATCACAGCCCCAATGCATAACCACGTGTCCCTCCCCTAATTGAAATCTTATAGGGACACCTTCCAGCCACTGGCAGCTAAAATCCCTCTAGGCTTCCCTTAGAAGAGCCCTGGGGGCATGGTGGTTACACGTTGGACCGTTAACTACATGGCTGTTCAAAACCACCTGCTGCTCCGAGGAAGAAAGACAAGGCTTTCTACCCGTGCAAAGAGTTAGTCTCAGAAATCCACAGGGGCAGCTCTACCTTGTTGGATAGGGTCTTTCTGAGTGAACATTGACTCGTGGCAGTGAGTGAGAGGCTCCCCTTGTTGGATTAATGCTGGCCAACCCTTTTTACAGGTGTTGACCGACCGAGTCATCCACTGCACAGAGGACGAGAGAATTGGATTGGGAAAGGGACGGCCAGTGGAAGGTGATACAACTGACTTCACTTGATTTTTTTTACAAGTACATTTTTCTTTGGAAAAGAAAAAAAATT